TAAGCTGAACATTTTTCAGTAGGCTTATACCTCAATGCTCTGATAATCATTTTTGTTTTACTTGGTTGTGTTTTATAGGAACAAAGGCGAAACAGGCTAGCAAGAGAATTACCTTCAGCTGTATCACGAGATAAGGTAAAAAATGTTTTAAAGCATATTCCCATTATGCAAAGATGGATCGGTAAGCGTCAGACTATTATTCAGCCCTAGGAATAATTTTTTCTTCTTCTCTCTTTAATATTCCATTGAAACTATTTCATTGTTTGAATAAAAGTTTAAAAACACGCTTTGAGTAATTTAAAGATATTTTTAATATATTGGAATAAATGCTTAAAGGTAGATTTTAAAAATTCATTGACTATCAGCTTTGTAAAATTAGTTGAAATGACTAATGACTTTATTATAACAAGGTTTTTTGAAGAGGGAAGACAATATGCACATACTAGGTAAATTATATATATTATAACATTAATACCTATAATAGTTGCATATATTAAAATGTTTGTGTGTATAAAACTCTTTTATCTTGAATTCTTTACCAGAAAAGATCTCACCAAATTCCAAAACTGAAAATGAAGGTTTTGGATTTTTCTCAGGTATTCATCTGAAGAAAGCCTTTTATAAAAGTGACAGGAGTACAGGAAATAAGGCAGAATAAACATTAATTTTATGTCCCACAATTATTCTTGTTTTTCATGTTATTTTACTATTTTGATACAGAGGGGAAATTTTCACATTTATAGAACGTTTTTGAATGCTTTCTTGGCATCCTTGATTTTTTCCCTGCATTTTTTGCCTTTAGTCCTCTAAAGTTCCAAGTGCTTTGGCACCTGCCTCCCAGGAGCCCCCCCCTGCTGCTTCTGCTGAGGCTGATGGCAAGGTCTGTTCTGATTCTTAATCTAAGCCTGCATGCCTAGTTGTTTGGTGCAACAATCATCTGGAAACAGTACACTAAATAGCAGAATATTAATACAAGCTGTTATATTAAGGTCAGATCATTTTAGCCTCATATAAATTATATAACAATGTATATATTTCATAAAATATTGTTGACATGCTTTTGCTTGCAATATAGAAGATGCACAGAGAAAAAGTAAAGAGGAAATTACCCTGTACTTTTTGATATTGAAATTTTGCTTGTTAAACTGCATGTTTTAACATATCTTTTAACAGTTAATTCAGGACAGCAGAAGAGATACTAAAAATGTGAGTCCTTGCTTCAGAATGGCAATGTTGGTACCTTTGGTTCTACCTGAAACACTTTCAAAACCATTGAAGAACCTGTCTGTACAGTGGCATCTATCTCGTTGTCTGTGTTGTTTTTAATGTTTCTCTTGTCTAACTAACCCTCTTAAGATGGCATTAATTCTAGTTTTAACATTGTTTTAAATAACAGTAGCCTTTTCCACTGTTTTGTTATCATCTTCCAGAATAGTTTCAAATTTAATATTTTGGTAGGGAATTAAGATTCCAGAGCCAGAAATTGTACTTTTGGACATTTCCTCTTTAAAAGTTCTGAGATCTGTCTAGTACTAATGGACAATCCTCTCGGGCTTCTTTCAATTATGCCTCCATTCAGCTTGTATTTGTCACCCCATATATGTAGCTCATCATGTGCCTCAACAGCTTAAGCACATTTAAAACAAATGGGTACTGTGAGAGTTTGAGACTGTTGTCAATTCTTGATAACCTTTTTAGGGGAACAATAATCTGTAATTAAGACTCGTTCTTATTTCTGTTTTTTTCTCCCATTTAACTCCTTTCCTTATTGTCCAGACTTAAGGTTCTGAACCTCAAAACCCAAATGTCTTATATTCTCTCAGTCCACTGTGCTTAGACCTTAAGAGAGCCATCTGAATCATTGCTTAAGTGTTTTTTTCCATGGCATCACCCTGAATTGCTTACTTTCCTTAAGATTTTATTTGTTACCTAAATATATTACTGCCTCTATTTAGATAAAATTCATCTTAACATGTTAGAGACAAATTTAAATTTAGATAAGTGTTCTGATTCGATGATGATACCACAAACATTTTTAAACAGTTGCCATAATACTTTACTGTTTAATTTATATAAGCCATTTATTTCTATCTATGAATTTTGGATGTCATCTATAATTTTACATTATAAGATCTTAAAGAGCATCTGAAAACATCTCAAATGTTTATGAATTACCGTTTTTCCCATTATCCTAAAACATGCATTTTTCTTTTAGACATTAAGACTAACAGCCTAGAAAATGAGGTGCAAAAGCAGTTGTGATCAATGGTAGCATTAGATTTCTTTCAGCAGATCCTTACTCAAGAGTGTAGACATTGAGGAAACTTCTGTTTATGTCATGTTCCACATTTTGGGCAGTTTAAAGTCACTACCAGCTTAAGACTCATGGTTATATTCTGTTTTTTTTATAGAGTTTCTACTTTTATCTCATGATATTATATTGACTAAATGTAAAATGACATGAGAAACCTATCAACTCTTGAGTTCACAGAACTTTCGGAGAGATCATAGTTCAGCACCATTTAGGTTGCTTTGAAGAAATTAAGCCGAGTGGCAGTTCTGTTTTTCCTTGTGCTTTTTATGAGCAGTCTTAGTTGTAAGGGCAGCTTATACTTTTCCCACAATCTAGTGTTAGAGGGGTTGGGAAAAGTTAAAAAGCTGGCAAATGCTAAAGAAATAATATTGGCGGAGGCCTTGCAAACCTTTTACAACAGAACCTCTTTAGATAACTCAGTTCCAGTTAAACATGCTGCCCCATCTCTTTCTGACCCTGTTACCTGAATAGATTGAATTCCAGCTGAGTACTGACTGGATGTGTGTCCTTGACTAGCATCAAAGAAAACGAACTTTGTTTAGTTAATGTCGTTTTTGATATGGTTGGCATAGATTTTGGGACATCTGTGTCTTTCCAGGTAGCATCTGGAGGGGGTGGGGTTGGAGATGCTGTTCAAGAACCAACAACAGGCAACTGGAGAGGAATGCTGAAAACTTCAAAAGCTGAAGAGTTATTAGCTGAGGAGAAATCAAAACCAATTCCAATTATGCCAGCCAGTCCACAAAAAGGCCATGCTGTGAATCTGCTGGATGTGGTAAGTCATGAGAATTTAGTTCAATGCTAATATAACTAAATTAGGAAAATACTTCAAAAGACAAAGAAACTGAAGTCTCAAAAACTTACTGACCTTTGAATGCTAGATGTTGCCATTTGCAAATGGCACAAAATATTTTTTCCTCCCTCTCACCCTATTTAGCCAGTTCCTGTTGCACGAAAATTATCTGCCCGTGAACAGCGAGATTGTGAGGTTATTGAACGACTCATCAAATCATATTTTCTTATTGTCAGAAAGAATATTCAAGACAGGTTAGTACTACATAATAAATCAGACTAATACTGTGGGATGATTCTGTAAATTTTGAAAATACATGTATTTTAAAAATTTTAGGCTTTTATTCTAAATTAAATGGATCATCTGTTTTGTTTTGTAGTGTGCCAAAGGCAGTAATGCATTTTTTGGTTAATCATGTGAAAGATACTCTTCAGAGTGAGTTAGTAGGACAGCTGTATAAAGCATCTTTACTGGATGATCTTCTGACTGAATCTGAGGACATGGCACAGCGTAGAAAAGAAGCAGCTGATATGTTAAAGGTATTGGTGTGACTTTTTTTTTTTGAATTTTCACATTTTGTAGATATAAACATGTATCGTTTAAAATGCATTCTGATCTTTGGATACATATATAGTCTTCATATGATAGCTAATTTCTCTTGGTACTTGATAAAATTGAAATTCCAGAGAAAATACTGGTTATTATAAATTGACTATATATAAAGTGGAGCGATTACCCCCACATAATTCAGATTCTTTGCTATATTAACTTAATAAGCACTTATAATAATTTTTATCTTTAATGCAGGCATTACAAGGAGCAGGTCAAATTATTGCTGAAATCCGAGAGACTCATCTTTGGTGAAGAGAACTATATAATACTGAGACTTTGTTGACTCGAAACTTGCTAGTTACTGCCTACTTGAGTAGATTTTTATTTATGAACTGCTGGGTATTACAATGGTATGAATCTGCTCATGTGAAGACTGGCTTTAAACTGAAAATTGTACGCTACTACAGAACAATTCACACATTTAATCCAAATAATAAATGGATGTTTCTAAAGTTTCCCAGTATATATAAAATTCATCAAGTCTGTCTTGTGACTTTCATTTGAACTTTTTAAAAAGACATGTTAATGTTCTAGTTGTACAAGCAGTTTGCCTGTGGGTAAGATGACCTATGTACTCTGTTAGTAGTTGTAAAGCTGCTGCCATAGTTCTTCAGGAAGAAAGAATGCAAGACATTTCATATGACTATACTGCATGCACTATTTTTGAAAGATGTGGGTTGACAAGTTACTCACATAGTCACTGTATTCCACCTGTCCTTCGATTTAGTTTTATCAAGCTTCTCTGCAATCTTTGATGTGTTAGTAAGGAAGTTGGATGCACAAGAGGATCTGTGACAATGATGCGGTGTACATAATGTGTGGCTACGCAGCCCTTCCACTTCTGGGTCCACATGGCCCTAGTGCATTAAAAATTAAAATATTTTTGATTCTTACCTGAGAGCATGAATTACATTTTCTTATATTATCTAGTAAGACCTGGAAATGATCATTCCTTTTAATTTTTAGAGTTTCTAATTCCACCTGGTTTCCAAATACAATAGTAATTCATATACATGTTTAAATTTAAATTGGGCCACTTACACCATGTACCAGGATTCACTTGGAGGGGGGACTTAAAACCAAATACTGTGCTGATTATAGAAGTATATCCTTTCTCTATAAGCATTAATTGGTAATAGTTACTTTATTTCACACCAGCAAAATACACTGGAATAGAGGTGTAAAAATACTGGTGGGGCCTTATTATTTAAAGAAAAACATATATATACACATACTCCTAATTGCTTATAGACTAATAAACTGCATTCAGGGGCTTGGGTGTGAGATTTAGAACATATATACATTTTATTAAAACTCCCCAATTCTTGATACAAATTACATTACAAATTTAAGATAGGGTCAAAATCCTTAAGGCATCTGGCTCCATCTCTAACATAACATGTTAAGTAAATTATACATTACAGATATAAAAATTTCTTTTTAAGTGATGACATTTATGAAGGGCTACTGGCCAATATGAATATATCTTTTAACTTTAGCTTATGGTACTCTAAGAAACAGGCTCAGCAACTGATCCCAAACATAAAAAAAACAGATTGAGTCTCATATGGTACTATTTCAAATTGATTAGAATCTTGATAGAATACATGCTACCAAGATGTTTGTTAGCACTTTAAAATCACTCTGCCATCATTAAACATCAGTTTTGAAATTATAGCCATCTATGATTTACTTGTTTTAGACAGATTAGATGACTACCATTCTAGCCTTTTGAATTGGTAAGGGAAAAAACCCCTTATAATGGACCTTCCTCCAGCAGATCAAACAGGTTTCCAATTAAAAACGTTATCTTTAAAGACAGGCTGTGGTGATGCACTTTCTGGCACTACACATTGTACAAAAAAAAAAAAAAAGCAAGAAAGGTATGGAAAGAAAACCTTCCTTTGTTGGCCCTCAAACTGAGTGAAGCTCTGAAATGTGGAGATGGTGACAGCAGTCCCCAACCCTTTTGGCACCAGGAACCGGTGCTTCTATGAGAATCTAATGCCTGATGATCTGAAGTTGAGCCGAGGTGGTGACACTAGCGCTGGGGAGCGGCTGCTAATACAGATGAAGTTTCGCTCGCTTGCCCACTGCTGCTTGCCTCCTATTGTGTGGCTTGGTTCCTAACAGGCCATGGACCAGTACTGGTCCGTGGCCCGGGGGTTGAGGACCCCTGATCTATGACATTTATAATGGATGCCTGTATGTTCTTGATATGTAAATAAAATTGCTGGTATGAAATGACATTAAAGTTTATCGATAAATGAATTCGTCCTAATTTTACTCTCAGAAAAAGGTTTAAAATAGTTTTTTAACATAGAAATCTACTTTGGACATCATAGTACAGCTAATACTGCAAGAAAGTTTTATGACTTTTTTTTCCTATTCTCACATTTCACTGAGATATTACTGCATCTCCATTTTCCTATATGAAGATAGTGACTTGCTCCAAGTAATGCAGGTAGCAAATGTCTAGAATTTGAATATTAAAGCCATGCTTTGCTGCTTGTAAGGTTTTCTAGAAGATGTTTGTGAACCATTTTGTATGTTTGTGTTTTTCACTTGATCCTTAGGGAAATAGGGGAGCTATTACCTTGATTTTTCAGATGTGGAAATGGTTCTAGAGATTTAACTTGTCTAACGCATGAAGAACTTAACTAAGTCTTAACACCAAATCCTTTAAATTTGATCTGAAAGCTTTCCTTATCTGAATAACTTGATATTCTCATATAATTGGATGTTTGCTATAATATTTGCCTCTATTTTATCTCTGGTTACTTTTCAGTTTATCTCAAGTTGCAGTTAGCTTGGGGACAGGATTTGAAACTTAAAACTAAAAGTTTCTAAATTTATAAAATATTGCTACCTTAGTAACCCGACAAAATAAGGCTGTAAGTAAACAGTTATACTGAAACAGAGGCAAGGGACAGGAAAACTGAATTAGAAACTTTCTGAAAAGTCAAATACTGATTTTTATTCTTTTCTTTGAAAAGGAACTACTCCTGTTGTAATTTCTAATTTTCTCCCAGCTGAAGTATTTTGGCTAACTTTTCTCCTTTTTAAGGAGAAGTATATTTGCTTCAACTAAACAACAAATTAATTTCCAATACTAGATTTTGCATTTCTAATATGGATACTGCTGGATTTGAGCAGTATAAACACTAGCAAGATCAGTGAGATAATATACTGATATAAAAGTATCCACAATTCATTACATTACCTCTTTTTCATTGTTCCTCCTCACATCCAAAAAGGAGAGCAAGGACAATAGTAAAGATAGCAATTAGTTTTTTCATAAAGTATAATTTTTAAGAGATTAACCCTGGAAATCACAGTTTTCTATGGTAGTCCTTAATGTTTAAGGATCAGGAAATAAAACATCCCATCATTACACAAACAACTTATTAACCAGCCTATGTAAATAATGAAATTACTCACACTGGGAGGCCCAGAGTATACTCCATTCTCTTGTTTGATTTGTATAAATGAAGGTAAAAGTTCTGGAGCCAAACTTTCGAATGTCTTGAGAATGAAATGATGGATAAGACTGAACCACCTGAAGGATTTTTCATCATAGCTGAAGCCATTTTATAATGTAGAAATTCCTTTTTCCTATTTTAAGTAATGAAAGTCCATTCTTAAGAATGTGTTGTCCAACAACTAAAACACTCTCGGGATTCGTTACTTGTCTGTGATTTATACTGACTCCGCCTTCTGTTATCATCCGATACCTAAAAATATAAATGTTTAGTAATTAGATAAATCCTATCACTGTTGACATCTCCCAATAATATAGATGCATCATTACTGTATTTCTCTTAAATTTCAGAGGCTCTCCCAAGTGCAACCTTTTAGCACTGAATTGTTATCTTCACGTTTTCTAGATTCTGCTTCTCTTTAATGCTCGTTAAGGGAGCAGGTTTAAGGCAAAACAGATTTCTTGTTTTGTGGAGAAAAAGTACTGGGATATCTCAGCTCTTGATAGAACTGTCTGGTTGGTTGTGGTTTAAAAATGAAGTGAATTGGAATAAAGGATCACTTTCTGGAGGGCTCCCCGTACCTTGGGGGATAAAAAAGAAAGTCACAGAAACTTCCAAAAATAAGAAAGGTGGACAGTGCTGCTTTTCATGAGATACAAGTCACAACTACAGTAAGTCCTCACAAAGTCGCTGAGAGGTTCTTTGAAACCGCAACTTTAAGTGAAACGACAAATAATGAGACCAGTTTAACCACAAGCTGGCTGATAATGAGTAAAGTTCCTATGGCATACTCCTAGTAACAAAAATATCACCAAACTTCTAAACACTTACAATGACAAACACTGAAATAAATGTGAGCTACGTATACATTTAAGAAAGGTTAATGAAAACAAGTATGATGACTTTTCCAACCCACCGATTCTAGTTAAGGGTCATGTGTGGCTGGAGCCTATCCCTGGCAGCTCGGGCACCAGGCGGGAACCCATGCCGGACAGGGCACTCCCATTGCCAGGGTGCACCCACACCCTCTCAGACTGGGACAGTGTAGACACGCCAATTCACCTCATGTGCACATCTTTAGGATGGAGGAGGAAACCAGGAGTACCTGGAGAAAATCCACACAGACACGAGAGAACGTGCAAACTTCACGCAGACACAGACTGTGGCCCTGGCCAGGAATTGATTTTTTTTTTTTTTTTGACATAATGAAACATTATTTGAGGACCTGCTATTATATAGTGTTATCTATAGCCATCTTGAGGAAACTTGCACATGAAACGAAAAATCCTTGCAAATTACATTCTGAGACTGCAAATAATAAATTTTGTTAAAATTTTTCTTTTAAAAAGCCGATTTCAGAAATGAAAAATCAGTAGCTGATTTAATTCTAGATTACAAGAGTTTTTGATGATCTATATAAACAGGTTTTGTTCATTATCATCTAATTCATTCAATAGGTTTATAGAGCCACTACTATGCACTAAATATAAAGTATTGCAAACTCATGTAGAGAGCCAGACAAATGAACAATTACAGCACACTGTGATTAAGTGTTGTACCAGGAACACACTGGGTGGTGGAGGTTCGAAATTTTCCTAAGTCACCTAAACTAGGAGAGTGAGTAGCAGTTATTTTCAAACAGGATGAGGAAACATGGGAGTAGCTAGAAAAAGGTGAGATTTAAGAAAAGAGGACTAGAGCATGAAAGGCCTTGGAAGTCCTGCAAGGCAAATGTTGGTTTTCTCTTATTTATGTTACCAAATTAAATTAATAAAGGACTATGCATGGTTTTATAAAAGCTCAACAGTAAAAGATTTTCTATTATGGACGGATTTCTTTCTTTTAGGAAGTATTATTTTAGGTTTGCTATAGTTTCCGGATCATGTTCTACATTTTGTTTAAATGTACGAACCCACCTTATTTAAGCTTACACAATCTAAAAAATGTCAGTATTACTTAGAACTCTGGTTAAATCAGATATGGTGTCATCTTAAGTAGTAGTAAAACTTCCAGTATTAGTAAATAAACCACTAGAATAGATCAGAAGAAAATGAAAAATGTTTCCAGTGAGGAAAATTCTTAGAACCAGTGACTCACTGTGGGGAGGTATATGACATCCTCAATTCAGTGAATATTAAATAGACTAGCATATTAAAAAATCAGGGAGAGTGGCAGGTGATAAAAGAGACAACGGATATTTTCTCTGTTAAGTGTACTCTAAGGCTCTTTGGGATAGAGGCAAATACTCTAAAACAATTGCGGGAAAAAACCCCAACAACCCAGCAACTATAATATAACAAAGGTCTTTCATAATCACGAGCATGGACTAATAACTATTTGACTTATGCTAGAACTACTGCAGAGGAGGCACCCAGGGTCTTCTGGCTAACTAATGCTGCTTCTGCATTACACTGTTTCATTTATAAATGAACAAGCATCAGGTATATGTCAAATAACTTTTCTGTGGAACGCCTTATTCCCTAATAATACTGCATGACTGAGGAATTTAAATATTCTACCTACTTCGCAAGTAAGAAAATGCAATTCTCAACAATAGTATGTAGTTTATAATAAATCTTATGAAGTTACATCATATGCTTATTTCATTTTCAGAAATTCAACTAATAAATAGGCTGGAAAACCCTTCTACTCCTCCAAATAAAAAGGATACATACAGGCTGTAGATGAGAAAGGTCATGTCAATCTGTCACTTTAGGGCCTCTCTTGTGATCTAGAATTGTAACCATCCCTGACCTGAATGATCCCTGAGTATTTATTGAACATAGTGGTCCCTTAAATTCAAGCCTTTTCCAACGTGGGAGGAAAAACTGGGTTAGAATCTGTAAGAAAGTACAGAATCTACTCTACTTCACAGAAAATTTAAGGTATTTTCAGCAACAAATATTCTGTTTTCACTTTATTCTCAGATTAACCTAACTTCGGGAAGTAATGAGACAGCATTAGAGCATTATCAAGAAAACACCCTCTGGAAACACATGCTGCGAATTATAACATTTAATGTTGAATTAAATGTGAATCTTAAAGTTAAATAATCTTACCCGCGGGGACCATCTGGAATGGCATTTGCTTTGCGGCATGTATCTAGGACGCTTGTTCCAGGGTCAAGAACTAATTCAGAAAATGAAGCTTCTTTGAACAACTCTTTTAACTCTTGATCAGACATGACCTCCAGTGCATCTATGCTACTATGATAAAGGGCTTGTGTACACCTGAAAAACATGTTGAGAGCAACATCATGTGAGTGCTTATTCAGATACATGTTCTAATACCCAGTAACCAATTATGAAGTGCCCATTAAGTTCCGGATGTAACGTTTTTGAAACAGCAACATTTATTTTGTATAATTTATAAACTTAATTTGTGATAATCTTCCCAATAAAAAGAGGCTATTTTAAAGCAGTTAAGTCACGCACCAACAATCCTTGTTAGTGGTAGAAGACAACTCTAAAAGAGTACAGCTCTAAATTTTCTCATCTATTAACTAACTTTATCAAGTGTTAATTATTCTAAAAGGCCACCTTTTAGCGGAATCCAGCCCTTCTTGTCCATGAACAAGCTTCGTGACTTCTGCAGCAAGTCGTTTCTGAGGACCGCGCTTTTCCGGTTCTCTGACATGCAGCTGCATTATGTGGTCAATCTCCGGAAGGGGCAGAAACGTGAAGAGCTTCAGGTACCTTCAGGACAAAAAATAAAGTGTTATATACCTAATTTTTTAAATCTCCAGTTCCCCTTACTTTGTAATACTTTTATTTTTAATTGTGAAATACAACATGCAGAAATGTACCAAACATAAGACAATCATACACATACCACCTGAACTGAAGATGTTACTATTTTGACATCTTTGTTTTAGATCTTCCTTTTTTTAACAGCTGTAATAATATAAGTATAGATGAAGCTCTCAGCCCCATCACAGTCTCCTTGCCCCCAGAGAAACCACCAATCTAAATTTGTGTGCATCCTTCTCAGGCATGTTTTTACTTCTGTTTTCTATGTACCCATAAATAAAAAATACTGTGTAATTTAAAAACTAACAATATTTTATATATATCCTTTAAAGAAATATTTTCTTTGGTGAAAAGCACAGAAAAGTCCACAAATCATAAACATATAGTTTAATGTAAATGTAAAGCAGCTATATATGTAACTGTCACCTGTGTAGATGACAACATTGCCTCTACCCAAGGAAGCACAATTGTTCCACAACCCCTCACCTCCCTCCAAACTAACCACTCTTCTGCCTTTCATGGTAATCACTTCCTTCATTTTCTTTATACTTTTACCATCTCAGTATGCTTCTCTAAGCAGCATCACTTAGTTTTGCCTGGTTTTAGATTTTATATAAATGGAACCATACAGAATATCTTTGTGTTTGGCATATCATTATGTTTGAGAGATTCACCCGTGTTGCTGTGTATACAGCTGTTGTATACAGCATTGCATGTTACGAATATTCTAAAACCTATGTATTTATTCTATTGTGGATGTTTGTGTTGTTTCTACTCGTGGACAACTGCTAATAATGCTGCTATGAATACTCTCAAGTATTTCTCTTGGTGCACATGTGCAGTAATTTCTGTTAGGGATATATCCAGGAGAGGAACTGCTGGATCATAGGTTATGTGCGTATTCAGCTTTAGTAGACATAGTCACATATTTTTCCAAAGTGGTTCTATTAGTATAGTATAAGTTCCTGTCATTCAGCTTGCCAAGATATCTATGCAAGGACATCCATCTTGAATAAACATAATGCCAGCTGTATGACACAGCTAGTAGCAGACTAACTAGATAAGGAAGCAGGCCATCCCCACTCATGAAGTTCTCCTATTAGAAAGTCCTAGGTAACCTAGATCACTGCCTGAGTGACCTTGCTCTTCCCTTCCCACTCCTTCATTCCCACTTTTATGTTTTAAATTTGCCAGTAGAGAGTGAACCCATGAAACCCTAGGCACCCCACCCCTTGACCCTAATAAAGGCAGAGCCCCAGGTCCACACTCCCTCCTCTCTTCCGGTGACCTCAGAGTGCCATATACCCTCCAGACCTTGGGAGTTATAAATCTTGTTTCTTCAAAGTCCCTGATGGTTGTTGCTGAGGTGAATCCCACAATTGTAATGCGAAACACAAGGGCTAGTCCAGCCACAACACTGGCTCTCATCACCACAAGGAGTATGGGCCCAGGTGCATTTCCAGGCATTTCTAGCCAATAGCATCACTACTAACAGGCTGAGACCAACACAATTGGCATAGTTGGCAGGACTGCATGACTGACTTGCAATTAACTGAGGGGAATGCCCTTTAGCCTAGATGGGCTTACTAACTGGATAATCCAAGTGGGTAACACCATTTGGGAAGGCAGCCTCACTTGCTCGAAGTCCATTATGCTGTCATGTGTTTTTGCATATTGCCTCTGCCATGTGTTGCCTGTGGTATCTATTCCTAAATGTCACTGCTGCCATAAGAATTCAGTGATCTCCACAGAGCAGTGGGATCAAGGCCATATGGTCTAACAAGATGATTAGACCACTAATTATTCAGGCCTTAATGGACTGCTAATGTACATACTGTCCTCATGCTCAGGAAAAGGGGCCCTAAGCAAGGCTATCGCTCCCACCCCTGCCCCACCTTGCTTCAGCCCCATGTGCCTTCGTGCTGAAGACCTTCAGGAGAAGGTGTCACTGGAGGTAAGGAAGTGGGAGACCTCCCACTGAAACCACTGAGCAGTGGGTAACATGAGGACTATGTGAATACAGCAGCTTTGCAACAGGCAGCTAATGGCACCATGAAAGGAGAAATGCAGCCAAGGTTTGCTATACCTATGTACCACTGCATTCACTGCTGTCCCCCTACAACCCAATGGGATATCATGGGTCTGACTCCTGGTGCAATGTTGCTGCATAATTAATGGACAAATATAAATGTCCTGAATATCCTGTGCTAGTGCCTCCTATGACCTCTGAAGAGGTATGCCAGCTCTTGATAAATGCAAAACCCCATAGAAGCTTCCTAGGCATTGCTGCTGTATAATAACATGACAAGGCTCTGGCATTAGGCTCCAGAGAGACCTAGGGATTTCCTAAAGACCCTGGGGTATCACTAATAGAGGCAGACCCAATCCAGGGTAGACCGACGGGGACACCCTGGAAAGGGAGCCACCTATGAAGAGGGCTCATAGGGACATCTTCCACAAACTCTGGTAACAACACGTAAGATCAAGGTAACGAAGAAAATGAGGAAGTAAAAGTTGAGATTAGAAATTATCCCTTAACTGAAATTCTAACTTCCCTTAAAGATTCTCTGCAGCGGGAAGGAAAGAAGGGAATTGATTGCCCACTGCAGATTCTGGAACCTAAATTTTTACTCATGGCTGCCAAAATGTGCCAACTGACTGGTATCTCTACAGACCCTAAAAATCTATAAACATCTCAGAGATCCATTAAGGCTATATGTCCATTTCCTCTGATATACCACATATCCTGAACCTTCTTGGCTTTCCCCTGCATGAGGCGCCCTTGCCACCAACAGAAAAACTGACAGTATTACTGAAGCCTCTAGTAACAGTGAGGGCCGTAGAGCCACTGGTATTTGTACCGGGGTCCTCCCTCTCCTCACCTGCATATTTATTGCCTGGCACTGTGCCCATACCCCCAACATAGTGATCATTGCTAAGGCTCACAGTGAATGGAAAACATTAGAGGCCTGTGTCCTACCATACAAAATTTGCATGGCCCAGGGGATTTATCCTCTCCATAACCATACTGACCCAAATGACTCCCTGTTCATTTCCAACCCTGAAAAGGCCTCATTTGACTCTGAGTCCAGAGAATTCTTTTTATAAGGTGCTCCCCCTAATTATGGAGCAGTGCTCCATTTTATTGGGACTTAAAAACTATTCAAAAGGCCCTGGAGGGTGTTGAGACGGTTGCCAGACAGGAGATTCTCACCCAGATACTTCAGACTTATGCCCCTCCACCCCCGCTGCCCCTAGGGGTCTCCTTCTAGCACATTATCCTAAATGAAAAGGGCTCTCTAATCCTTGCACACCACTTATATCAATGTGGCTGGGCAATCACTCCTTGTCAAGTTTCTGTGCATCATCTGGTCCTCTGAGGGCTGAGAAATCCCCCCAAGAGTGAAACATCAATTACTATAAACCACCCACTACACTCAGATAGGTACAACACATACTAGGCCTTTTCATGTTCTGAAGTCAACATAGCCCTCATCTCACTTATTCTTTGCCTGATATACACAATCTCATGCAATCACATGGAAATCTGCCATCTTCTGTTGGGATAAAGCCCAACAAGCCTTACCTTTAGTCCTGCCTGGCTCCACATTCTGATTCAGTCCTTGACTATACCTGACTATGCCTCCTGGAGTCTCTGAACCAAACATGAGTCTACCTAATTTCTTAATGGATTAAGCACATACCCCCATGGACAGCCCTTGAGCACCAACTTTTGGCATTTTACTGTTCCTTTATCCTACATTTCTCTTATTATTAAGGCTGAGCAACTTTTTCACGTTTTGGGTCTTCTGAATAGAATCCCTATGAAGTGTCTGTTCAAGTCTCTTCTCATTTTTCTACTGGGCTGTCAGTCTTTTTCTCATTGGCTTATAGAAATTCTTTATATTAATGTGAATATAAATTCTATCAGTTACATGTACTGAAACTATATTCTCTCATTCTTAAAGGTGAACTGATGAACAGTTGATATTACTTTAATTTAGCCAAATTTATCAATCTTTTTCTTTGGGTCCCATTTAAAAAACTTTTCCTATCCCAGTCATGAAGAAATTTTCCTATTTATCTTCTAAAACTTTTGTTTAGATTGTCTTGTCTCTTGTAATAAATTTAGGTTGATAATCTACCTGGAACTGATTTCTCTGTACAGTGTGAGGTTAATTTTTACTATTTTCCTCACATAAGACATCTAATTATCCAAGTAATATTTATTGAAAAGATTGTCTTACTCTATGGCTCTGCAGTGCCACTGAGATCAGGTGACTATATATGCTGGAGTCTGTCTGGATTCTCTAATCTGTTCCATTTGTCTCTTTATTTAACCTTACATTGAAGCTTCAAAAATCTAAAGGTTATTAGAATTAATAACAGTTTAGCAAGGTTGCTGAATACATGGATAATATATAGAAATTAATTCTATTTCTACATATCAGAGCCAGTCAGAAAATGAAGTTTTCAAAAAGATATCAAGTTCTTGATATATCAAACTAGAGGACTGTATCATCAAATATGTTAGGAATAAATCTAAAGGAAAAAAATGAACCCCTTAATTACTATAGTTTTACAATAAGGCATAGCTTCCGCTCTGTTCTTAAACAACGTCTTGGACAATCTCAGCCTTTTTTATTTCCAGGTAAATCTTAAACCAACTTGTCAAGTACCACACACACACAAAAAGCCCGTTTAGATATGGTTGGGATTGCACTGAATATGTGTATCAAATCTTATAGAACCAATATCAGTTCTATTGCAATATAACTCTCCATTTATGTAGGTCTTTATTTTTACTCAATAGTTTTTTAATGTCCTGCAGGAAAGTCATACACTTAAAAATTTTTAAAACAATTATTCCTAGATTACTTTGATAGTGCAGTTGTATCAGAAATATTTTTTGAAAAATTCATTTTCTTTGTTGCAGATATATTTGTTTTCTCATTAATTTATATTCTTCCAAGAGTTTAAAATAATGTGAATGAGAAAATCATTTTAAGGCTTTCAAAAGGTGTTTTACGTTACATTAAAGAAAAAAAGACCTGGGACAAAGTAAAATAAGGCTTAGTGAAGTTTAAGATGAAAGGAGTGAAAAAACTAGAATATGCAAGCAATAATGTCCTAAGTACATGTTAGATGTAGATTACAACCTTGACTGTTTTCTAGCAACCACGGTGATTTTCTGCTTTAACCAAAAGTATTTAACTTTATAACAGTTAAAATTACATGTTCTGTTATATAATGGTTTGTCTTAAATAGTATCTAAGTAAAAAACACACAAAAAACTATAAAGGGTACATAGAGATCGAATGGTAAAATAGTATCGCGAGCTTATGAACTTAATTTTTCTCAGCACACTATTAAGAACTCACCTTTCTACAGAATCATCTTGCTGCCTGAGAAAGAATTGATACAATTCAAATGGAGATGTCTTCTCTCTGTTTAGCCAAACAGCATTGCCAGCAGACTTTCCTAGTTTTGCTCCAGTTGTACTCGTAATTAGAGGAACAGTGATTCCAAATACGTCTTCTCCAGTTAACCTATGCATAAAGAAGAACGTTATTATGTGTTTCAAGCACAGGTGGTGGTAGGTTTAGCTAATCACTCTTTCTGTTTTAGTAAGGTCTCTTGCTCTAAGAAAACTTCCATGACTTCCTAAATCTGGATTCGTGTCCCTCTTACTACTTTCACAGTATTCACTCTATTTTGGCATTTGTCATTCTGAACCGCAATTGAACCAACAATGACTCTGGGGAAGCCAAGAGGAGGTGTTGCTTAACCAGGGCCTAGAAAATTTTAAAGGCTGGGTGGGAAGAAGAGACTTGAATAAAGGGCGAGTCAAGTAGAGACGCTAAAGACGATTTAGAGACTTAAAAAAATGAGTAGCACATGGGCTAGCTCTGGTTCACCTCCCTCAATCTATTATCAAGATTAATAATTAAAATGTACGTTATTTCCCAAAAAAGGGAAAACATACAATCCGAATCCTGACTAGCCTACTTCCTGCAGAGCTCTAGAATACATCCCATACTTAATACTTTAATTCAGCCCTTTAGTTCTCATTAGCCACTGATATTAACACCGTTACATATTATATGGTGATAATATTAACACTCTTAATGCGGATAAAATCAACAAAGGCTTGAGGAAAGACGTCAGTCATTTCACAATCCTAATAATGCATCACAAGCTATTCGTGTATGTCATTTGTCGCAGGATTTTTCCTGGGTCTAAAGGCGCTTACTTGTGGATAAACTCGTATCCAGACATGATATTGCCCAGCTGATCAGATCCACCCAGCTGGACCCGGCATCCATAACGCTGGAACAGGTAGTAGAAATCATAGGCCTGAAGCACCTGGTATAAGAACTCCGCCATACTCATCCCCTCGGGGCTCTTGAGCCTTGTCTGTACGCTCAGCCGGCTCAGCAGCGTGCCCATGCGGAAGTGGCTGCCCACTGCCGCCAGGAAGTCCACCAGGCGCTGCTCCTGATACCAGGCAAAGTTGTCCAGCACCGTGAAGCTGCCCCAGGTCCTCCCATTAGTAAAGAGCTGTCGGTGATTAGCCGCCAAGGCCTCGAGCCCCTGGCGCAGGACTTGCGCGTTGCTTCCCACCCGCTCTGCATCTAGCACCTCGCGCTCCTTGGTGCGGCCGCTTGGATCTCCCAGGCGCGCCGTAGCGCCTCCCACCAGCGCGATCACATTGTGGCCAGCTCGCTGGAAGTGAAACAGGCCCAGCAGTGCCAGCAGGTGTCCCACATGAAGCGAGTCGGCCGTGGGGTCGAAGCCGCAGTAGATGGTCTGGGGAAAGTTGCCCGCCGTGCGGCGGTCAAAGAGCTCTGGGAGCTCTATCTTCGTACCCTTCTCAGGAAAGAACTCTTTGAAAAGACCTCTAGCCTTCTGCACCGCCAACACCCCCTGAGCACCCGAGTGGGCCTCACGGAGCCCCAGGGGCAAGACTCCTAACGGGCCAGGGGTAAAATAGCCCCGGCCCCGGCAAATGAACCGTAACATGGGGGCCGCCATCTTGATGGCGGCACGAAGGGAATGCTGGGACTTTAGAGCCCCCGCCCCTCAGTGCCAGCCTTGTACATGATTTGCTTCAGTGTTTTTGTGCGCATGTCCGTGTGGGGCGAGGCGGTTACTTAGTTACGGAGCTAGCGCGCTCGCCAGTCATTGTTCTGACTACCCAAGGTGGGGTTTCCCTTAACGTCCAGTAACCTTAAATTCCCTAAAACTTAGTTTCTTCATCCGAAACTATTTATGATAATAGTTCCTGTCTCATAAGGGCTATTGTGAGGATTAAGAATTAAAGCACTTGGCCCATAGTGAAAGCTCTACAAATGTTAGCTTTTAAATTTTCACCTTAAAAAACTGATGCGAAAGCTCTTCGAAGTCTTGGTTCTAATCAAAAACTTGTTCACAGGGGTTGTGAGGGGCAAGGAATTGGTTTAACTTCATGAAGAGATACGATGTTGGGTTAAGATGCAACTTCAAAATACTTTTTCCCCAAGCAGATGAGAATGCCTCAGTCTCCAGTATTCATTAGCTTCTCCAGAAGGTGGCAGACTTGTCCAAGCTATACTGAGAAATTTCAACACACCAAATTAAATGCAGAAAACCCCGTGTCTTATTTAAATTACGGGTATGCAAGTGGGACACAACTTTCGCATTCGTGGATTCAAATCAGTAATCACATTACCACAGCATTGCCAGGTGCTATTAGTACTCCATTCACCAGGCACAGGGTTCTGGATGGCAGCCGGCTGGCAAGGATTCAACTCCAAAACCCCATTTTAGAATCTCATTTCTATGACCATTTTCAATACCAACTGTCTTGGGTTGAGTTCCTTGGGAAACAGACTCCAGTTGGAGATTTGTGTGTAGGGGGGTTACTGGGGCATATTTTTGGCATCAACATCTGTAATGGAGTGATGGAAGCAGGGTTGAGCAGAGAAATTGAACTGTGAACAATTTGCAACAGAGGCCTCAGACAATCCTATAGGGGACTCTGGAGCTGGAATTCAGAGTCATTCTGAATTGAGGCAAGGGGGCAGGTCTTTGTACCCTATTATTGATCAGTCGTTAAATGTGGGATGTCCCTGGGAAAGGAGGCAAAATTTTGGGCAAGGCTTTGTCAGGAGAGATGCAGAAGAGGACTCAGCTGTGAGCCATCAGCAACCAATTCTCAGCAGCTGGGGAATTGAATACTTTGGTTCTAAAGCAAGAATCTGGGCCATGCTCCAAACCATTCCCTGTGGGACCTTTCCACTTCTTAACACGTTAAGTCATTTAACAAAATGAAATATTTAAAAAATTAGTTTCTTTGCATATATAATTACCAGTGAAGTGAGTTTCTCATTGCCAACTAGAAACTTCTCTACGAATACTAGATACGTATTCAGCAGGTTATGTAACATAATCCTAATTGCTGAAGAAAATAAGCAGAGTCTATTCTCTCATATTAATATTCAAAATATCTTAAATTTGTGATCATAACCTGCTTACCTGCAGTCCTATTTCTCACCACTTTGGTCAGGGACATATTTCAGTATGTGTAGCAGGAAATTCTCCTGAGCATACAGCAGATAGTTCTTTCTATTTAGCACTTAATGCAGGAAGATTTGCACATTTTAAAAGGGGTATCTTTCATTCATGAGGTTCCTGGTTAATATGACATAATTATTTGTGGCTTTTACTGGTATATTAGTAATTTTATACCACAAAGTATGATTTCATATTGTGGTTTAATTACTTACTCACTTTAGGAAAACCTACTTCTTCTCATAGAAACATGTACCTGTTTCAACATTACTGATGGACCTGTGCTTAATGGAGAACTTCTGCAGCTGCTGAAAAACAGAATTCAGAGTAGCGTTTATTATAAGGTCTTTAAAAGTAGACTTGAGTTTCTGCTTGGTTTCTTCTTTAGCTGTATTTCATGAATAGGTAGCAAAGTCTGGTACAGAAGGTATCAGAACAGATGCTACGTGAGACTTGATAGTGGCTTAGTGACAGCAACAATTATTTTTCTTTCATGACTTATCTTGGTATAATAGGAAAAATGAGGCTTTGTCCAAAAGACAGGAACAATAGAAGAAGGTGGGACTTTTAAACCTTTGGAATTATATACATGGCTAAAATTTAATGGAACTGGACCCATGACTTGAACTTGGGGTAAGGAAAAGTGCACAAATTAATTCTTGCTGTTTTTATTGTCTTAAAAAGTGAATGGCTAATGTTTAAAAGTATTTTAGAAAATACTCTTTCTCTTAATTGTGATCACTTGAGGTTACCTGACCTTGAATCAGGGGCACATCTATTTTGCAAGTACCCTATGTATAATAAAATGTCACATAAAAATTCGCTTTGATGAATGATCCCTGTTTTATATAGTTCCATTTTCAAAATGTAAACAATTGTAAATATACAGGCATATCTCGGAGATATTGTGGGTTCAGTTCCAGATCACTGCAATAAAGCCAATGTTGCAATAAAGCGAGTTACTCAAATTTTTTGGTTTCCCAGTGCATATTAAAGTTAAATTTACACTATACTGTAGCCTATTATGTGTGCAATAGCATTATATCTAAAAAAAAAAATGTACATTGAAATATATTTTATTGCTAAAAAATGCTAACCATCATTTGAGACTTCAATGAGTAGTAATGTTTTTGCTGGTGGAGGGTCTTCCCTTCAATTTCTAAAAAAAACACAATATCTGTGAAGCACAATAAAGTGAATCATAATAAGATGATATATATTCCTGTAATAGCATTCATAAAGCACACAAATTAAATATTAATAATGTTTTAACTGGTCTCTCACAGGTCATGCCCAACATTTTAAAGTTAGGCGGTCCCATTTAATTCTGAAGCACTTCCCTATCGCATGGTTCACATGCAAATTACAGCAGAGATGAGGCTGTAATTCAGGCTGGGTCTGAAATATGAGCTGTCTAAAGGTCACAGCAGAATGACATCAAAAGGAGTCTGAGGAATTCCGATCATCATAATCACTAAAATGTTATTCCTACTTGTGTTTTCTCTTCTCTTAGAGATTGGAAGTATAGGCTTTTTCTGGAAGATAGTGACACATAGGATGCAAAGGAACGGGATAGAAACAAGAAATAGAAATTATAGTTCACTTCAGGGATTTAGTGATGGCCTTCCTTCCAATTGAACTATTTCCGTGATATTCTTATTTCCTACTATTTGAGAAAAAGAATAATTTCTAAAGACTGCTTTCAAGCCTTTGTTGTTTTTCTGTAATAATTAATAAATCAATCTACCTCATAATTTCATCCTCTTTCATGGCTTCCCTGGGGTCATTATTCTTGAAACTCACATCCTAAATCCTAAAGAATCCTTCTACCCTACCCATCCTTACCTGCAACCCAATTGCTTCCCTTTCATTCCAAATAAATTTCTTCTAAGAAGTTTGCTCTGCATTAGGTAGGACAAGAGAAAAATGCTCTTATTATCCAGGTTCATCACGCCCCTGAAATGTGTTAAAATGTACAATCGATAATACTTACTGTCCTTACAATAAAGGAAGGCCATTAAATTTGGTTTAAAAGTATAAATTTATCTAAGTGCCTGAAACCTAGTCTATATCCTTTTATTGAAGTTGCTCTAATGCTTTTTGAGCTGGTCATCATTTTAATACCCAAAAATTTTTTAGAAGAAATTAGTTTCTTTTATGCTGTTGGTTATAGGAGAATATTGCCAAAAAAAAAAAAAAAGTTACTAAATGTGCATTTCCTTTCTGTATTGCAGTTTAGAGAAGGATAAACATAACTATTCTTACTTTCTTTTAAGCTGATTTTGTGGCCAGTGTAATAACCTGTAGGGCTTATATGCACCTGGTCACGTACTCAGCTAAATAATATTTTGAGATATTTATGACTTTGTTTTTCCATTCTTCATCTTCCCCTTTCCGTTTTATCCATTGGAGCAGGTAGTGAGTTCTGTGTGTTAGTGCCTGGGGGAAGTCAGGGAGGAATGAAGAGTAAGCTTGGAACTTTTTATAGCTCTTATTTCTCAAGTAAAAAACATAGAGACAAGGTAAAGTTGAGGAAATAAGCTTGGAGAAGCAGAAGAGAAAGAGACAGGATCTCCTTTATTAAAGAGGACCCCTACCTGGGCAAGAGAGCCTGAGCCGTTAGTCCCATCTGCAAGAGGAGCTGTGCATTTCTCCCTGGCATCAAAGAGATAGTCTCCTGATACACTTAAGGCCTGGGGTTCCTGGCCTCACCCAAAGTTTCTCTGTTCTATTTGAATCAGAGTAGTGATTGAGTGCCAACTGGAGGCCACTGCAGGCTTGGCCAACCAGCATAGCTAGAGTAACCAGAATAGATTGGAGATTTGAGATATTATTTCCTGGGCATTGTGTAAGATGATCAAATTTTACTTAAAATTTTGGAAGGAGAAAGGAGCCCAGAACAATGGAGAAGTAATCTCCTACCATTATAGTGGGTTAAAGACTCAGAAGTTTGCTCGTTTATTTAACAAATATTTATTGTAAATATTCAATGACTCAGACACTGCCCTAATGGCTTAGGACACATTTGTGAACCAAAGAAAGATATTTGCCTTCATGGAAATGAAATTGTTTCATGAAGTTATATTTCTCTGAGCAGTCCTGTTCTTCACCAACTTCCTTTCTGACCCAGGGTCCTTTTCCACCCCAAGCCTTGGAGCAGAGAGAAGAAATGACTCCAATGTAATTGCTGAAGAATCTGCAGGTTAGGATGGGGTTGTGGGAAAGAAACATTGTGGAGGATATGACGAGGGAAGGACACCCTTTGCTGAATAGCGGTGATCAAGGCGTAGAGTTAAAGGGATCTTGAGACACAGAATTCAAACAATTCTTCCCCTTTCAATCTACAAATGTTTCTTTCTTTACAATTCCTGTACTGATTTTTTTTTTTCCTCAAGTAACTGAATGTTTTTCGTCAAGTAACCCTCCTTTTGCTCTGAGTTTGATAAGAGGTGGTATAGTCCACACCAACATTTTGTTTCACAGACTCTTTGCCAGGGTCATGCTTCAGGAGGATATTGACCAA